GCAACAAAATACTAACACTGCAAATACTCTACCTCAAGTCCCACTGGGGATACAGAGATCAATAGGACTTATAAGATAAAACACAGAACAAGAAGCTTAAAATCACCTTTGTAAAATATGACATAAAAGGATCCCCAACTATAGCACAGGAAATAGAAAGTGATGGTGGGAAAATAGTCATCATACCTATGGAACAGGGATAGGCAGCTCAGGGCCCTCTCAATCTTTTTTTTTTTTAACTCCAGACATCTTGAAATCATGAGTACCCTGTTTCCCCTAAAATAAGACATCCCCCGATAATAAGCCCAATCGGGCTTTTGAGCACATGCACTAAGCCTTCCCCTGAAAATAAGCCCTCCACGAAAGTATTTAAATGCATGCGCACCCGCTCCCTGCCATTTCCTCTGGTTTCCTCCATGCACCCCAAAATAATAAGACCTCCCCGAAAATAAGGCCAAGTGCTTATTTCGGGGTTCAAAAAAAATTAAGACAGGGTCTTATTTTCGGGGAAACACAGTACTGACAGTAAATTGTAGGAACTTTCATCGTACATTTGTAGAGCAGCAAATGACACATAACATAACTAAGGAATATGATACATCTGAGTATATATCGCCTCTACAGAGAAAATGCAATCCTGTGGTTATATCTACAACACAAAAGGCAATAATTTTATGTTGTACAATGCAATGTTTAGTTAAATTCTCCCAAGAATATATGAATTGTTCAGTCCTTTCAATCATATATATTTGATTTTAAGGCCAAGTAGCAGAATTCTCTTTCCTTTCACAAAGATTTCATAATGCCTAACACTGTGAGGCCCATTATACTATAGAGATGTATTGAATCAGAATAGGAGAAAATGAACAAAGCTAATTCCCAGTGAATAGCAAGCTGCACTGGGTGGTAAGTCAGGCTAATTTTATGCAATGGCTTAGGCAACCTGGAAGCACATTGCAAAAGGCCACCATTAAAGAAATGCTATCGGCAATGGAGTCCTTCATTATAACGTTTGCACAATTGAATATTCCTACCATAGGGCAAGCCTTAGTGTGGTAACTGGAAGTTGTGCTCTCCCACTGTATATTGAGATGTGTTGAATGATTGACTCCATCGAAACAAGCTTTAATATTAGTCATCTTCTATGAAATATACCCTCCCTAAAGGGCCCCAACTATTCTGCTTCATATTCAGCACCACATAAGTATATGTTTATTATTTTTTTTAGGACTTTACATTTTCTGCAATGTTACTACTATGACTTCATTTTAAATAGGTATGTTTTTAGGAGACATTTTAATAGACCAATGTTTTATGGGTTTGGAATTATTTTTAATTGTATTTATTATGATTTTATATTTTAGCATGCTTCTATATGCATTTTGCCCTGTGGACCATCGCTACCATGTAACTAATGATTTTAGAAATTAATAGAATAAAACTTGCTGAACTATGACTGTCATTCTTCCCAGTCAGCATGACATTTGACCACACTGGCTGAAATAGTGAGAAGCAATCCAACACATCTGGAGGGCCACAAGTCACAGAAAGGCAGTCCAAGTTGTCATTCCCCATGCTGTGCGTCCTGTTCAATTTTCCACTGAGATAAGCTTATGGATTTGCTTAGTAACCTAATTCATTTCCTCCCATGAAATTTTCCCCAGAAATGAGTTTCTGTCTGGCAGGAAAGAAGGAGGGAGGTTGAAAATGAGCAAGAAGGTCACTCTACGCAGGAACACAAAAAAGGGACTGTCACAGGCAGCCTTTGAGACGGTGGAGGGTCGGTAGGTGACAACTGTGTCCCGACATCTTGCATCAGCTTATGCTTTCAGACTAAGTTGTTTGTCACATCCTCTTGGAATCAGCCGTCTGTAATACTAATAAAACAATACCCTGCTCATTTATGTTGGCTGCAGATACTTTGACATCATGTGTTGTTTTGCAACAGGACTTCTAGACTGTATCATTATATACACCTGCTCACAAATGAGATGGGACAATGGCTGTATTCAGATATCAGAAAGGCAGTTGGTGAACTAGTTTTGGAGATCTGTATCCCAACCATTTCTACAACTGGATACATGCTGTTTATCAAGCAAGCAGTTTTTAAAAAGTCCTTTATAAGAAAACCACAATGCTACTTAATTTAATACTAAGTTATGGAGTTTTAGGAGGCACAATTTTTTTTAAAAAAGCAGTCAAAAGCTACAGGGTTTGATGCAAAGTCATTACTGAAATTTAACAGAACAGAGACTGTTTGAGCGGATGAGATAGACAGCTTGGTGCATTAAGCTAAAATGAGGTTTATATACCATTTTAACATGTTTTTTTTCCCCCTGCTGAAAAAACTGGTTGGAAAATGTGCCTGTATTACTTGGCTATCACAATCAGAGCTTCAGATCCATATTTCCTAAAAGCTGCATGAGCTGCATGTGGTACAAGGCATGTGGGTGGTCCGTTTCTGTTTTTCAAGATCGATTGTATTTATTTCACCTCTTCATTTGATCAGCATGCATGAGCCCATACCTTCCTGAAAGCCTGTCACAAATTCACGCAAGCATCCAAACAGATACTCTTTTGTTTTGTGGTTGGAAAGTAAAAGGAATGATAGCTTGGTGTTCCAAAAGACGTTTCCCATAGGAGAAGGGTGGGGCAGATACTGAGTTGGCAGAGAAAAGAAGACTTAAGAAAAATAAAAAGTCTGCTGGAAAAGAGAACTTGTAGAATTGGAAGGAGGACTAATGGCTGGCAACCTGAGGAGGTAGTTTGTTGGTTGTTCAGAAGAGTCGATCCAAAGAGGAGAAGGTGCTGTGAGTTCCTTTCTACCCACTGCAGAGGCTGAAGTAATGGAAGATGTGAAGCTATATCGACCAGAGAGAAAGCTTATGGCAGCCTAAAAGGGTATGTTGGCCAGTACATTTAGCTCCTTACATTTTTTTTTCTAAATAAAATGTAAGAAGAGTATTTATAAATAGTGCAGTGTATATGTGTGGGTACACATTTGTTAAACCAATACTGTAGAATGCATACAGATTAAATTTAGGCTGCATAATATTTAGTACAGTAAAAGAAAAGGTCCGTTTTACAATGCATTTTAAATCTTTAACCATGATGGCTATAAGCCAAGCAAAGAATGGAATGTAGTTACCAAGTTGTAAATAACTCTTGCAAAGAAAAGCTATAAACTCCAAGGTTAATGCTGCTTTCTGTCTTAATGAAAGGAGGGGAAATCGTGAGTTTTGCACTATGTCAAATCCTGTGAACCCACAGCAGTCCCTGAGACAATCAGATTGTTCCAGAGAGACTAAATGAGAGCCTGTTATTTATCTTCTCTAATGAAAATTTTCTCTCCAATTTTCTTTAGAGCTGCGCCTTTTTGTAACTTAAAGGGGCTTATAAAAAAACTGAGAATCTATACCTTGCAAACAACCTGATGCATCATACTGGTCGTATATCTCATTCTACGAGGCAGTCTTCATGATCAGATTATGAATGCTTGTTTTTTCTTTGTTGTGAGAATCTGTAAATCGTCCCTCTTTGCCATTTTTCTACATAATATACTGCACATTGATTCCTCTTTTCAAGTACTATCTTCCCACTCAACAATAGAAAATAGAACATACTGGGTACTTTTAGTTAATATTGAACAAACTTCTATTTTAGTTTTAGATAAAATAATTTTACAGGGCCATAATGATTCTGAAAGAATTTAAGAAAGTCACAGATGAAGAAACTGGTCATCTGATTGACTGATGTTGATGCTGCCAAGTTGTTTCCACCTGCAGACCAACACACAATATACAGCATGTTACTAATAGAAACAGAATGCTGTCAGAGTGTGGATCATTAGGGCAAAATGATTTCTGTTCAGATGACAGCTGTAACTCCTAACTAGGTTCAACACTAGTTCGCTAGACCGTATCTACTGATGGTGGCTCTCTATCTTTGATTTAGCACCTTGACAGCCTTACTTGATTCAGATAACAAAGAGAGATATACTGCTTGGGGAAAGCCTTAAAATTCACAAGAATATGGATACATTGAGAGTTATATACTTCCTGATTTTATTTCTAGGCCAGAATGGGAATCTTGCACTTTCTTCCTTCACCTTTTCCAGTGCAAAGCATCAGTTATAGAAGAAACAGAGAAGTCTCCTCCCCACCCCAAATCTTCTATAATAGCCCCTTTAGTTACTAATTAAAAAGGATATGATAGAATGGTTTGGTTACAGTTTGGGAAGAGATGGATATGATTTACAGACTTCTTGAATGGATTGTCATCTTTTCCCTCCATAATTTAAGCACCTTGGGTGGAAAGACAAGACTTCAATGGATGAAGACACAAAACTAATTTCCACAAAAGGACTAGCACAATTTATAACAAGATTTTAAATATGAAGATGGTAATTGCATCAAAAGATTTGTGTATTTATTGACTACCATTTAGCAAGATGTTAGCCATTATAGGAGGCAAAAAGTCTTTCTCAGAAGCATTACAAAAAGCATCAGTTGAAAGCAAGCCATCATAAATCAATTAATGCTTATCCTTCCTTCTGATCCAAAATTCAAAACATTCTGATAACGTATATTAATCAGTTAATGACGTGTATTCAAAAAATAACCTGAGGTTGGAGTCTACTAAAATCAAACATAAACTATATGTAAGAAGAGGTGCCTCTTTGTTTATAGATAAATCTCATGCAAGCCAACATCCAAAAATAATGTCAATAAACAAGGATTTGAATATCTAATGGAATTTATGGATGCTGGAAATGTTCACCAAGTTAGGCAATCTCCTGTTACTTAGGAGACTAGCAAGGATTAGATTAAGTACCTGCTGCAGGTAAGGATAGGCTCAAATCCACATTGATGTTCAAGAATTCCAATCCTTCATGTACAAAGTCCAGTGTTTTCCGAGTCAAGTTCCACTCCTAATTATCAACTGAATTCAACCATATACAGTAGTGTTCTTTAACTCGGCAGGATGTAAAAGAAACCTACCACAAAAGGTGCAACTCTGCCAACTAGAGAATTGTCACTACCCTGGGGGCTTCTCACATTCTGTTTTTCTTCCTTGGGTTCCACTTCTTTTCTGAGAAACACCTGTAGGAAAAATTAGGGTGAAGATTTATTATGTCCCAATTATGGAAAAATCACTGGAGAATAATCAAGTAGCTAGGCCAGGGGTCTGCAACCTTAAACACCCAAAGAGCCATTTGGACCCATTTCCCAGAGAAAAGAAAACACGGGGAGCCACAAAACCTTTCCTGTGCCTGACTATTTCTTGAGCAGCCACAAAACTAGCATATGTAGTTGAATTAAACATTCTGTTTTCTTCTGAAACTTTTCTTTTCTTGGATTTATCCATGGTTGGCCTACTGGAGGTTGAAAAGGTCAATAAATTGCATGCCGGTGGGTGTCACACATTGGCGGTTGTGACACATATTTTGAGTGACTGGGAGCTGCAGTAGAGGGGCTGAAGAGTCACCTGCAGCTCCAGAGCCGCAGGTTGCTGACCCCTGAGCTAGACACTGAGTTGCTAAGGTGGCAATGGCAAAATTCAGACTTTTCAATTTTACTGTATTTTATCAAATCCACATTCTGATTATGCTTTAAGACATGGGTATCAAACTTGATCGTATCATGTGACGTATCACGAAGTTTTTTGCCTTTGCAGAACCAGGGTAGGCATTTGTGTGTGTGACGCATTTGGTCAGTTTGACACCCCTGCTTTAAGATGAGTATTGCACCCCAATAATTGTCAGTGAGACATGATTTTTAACAAGGGTTCCACCCTTTAATTGTTGCTATATTGCAAGCCCACAGGTGGTCATAAGATGAAAAAATACACATTGCCTAAATTTTTCTTTCACTCATTTTCATAAGAAATGATCAGTATTTTTTTTAATTATTGGTTTTTTTAAACACAGTTTGAACGTAGTTCTTCATTCTTACACAAAGACTAAGCATGTGGATATGGAAAAAGAAGAATCAATAAATCAGACACAATAACCAATGGTAAAATGTAGCCAGGACAAAGTAGAACACCAGTATCTCAGAACATTTTATTCTCGGCAACATCTATCTTCCATTAGCTGACAAGGACTGTCATAATTCGCATATGAACAGAAAATCTATTAAAATAATGGTGACTTCATGATAGATGAAGCATCACATACTGTTTATCTGTAAGAAAACAATACATTACAATACTTATTCCACAAATATGTATTCTAAACATTGGAAATAGTTGCCTTCCTGTTATTGCTGAACTCCTACAAGCTCCACTCAGCATATCCAATACTGAAATATCCTGTGATCATCCACTACTATCTCAAGTAGAAGTGAAAAGAGTGTGATGTGATGTGTGTGTGTGTGTGTGTGTGTGTGTGTGTGTGTGTGTGTGCCAAACATCTGTGCATATTATATTCAGGAAAGTGGGGAAGAGATAGCAGAGAAATTACAGTGAATGGGACAGACACGTAGATGTCCAAATTTCTCAGACTAGTAGTGTGAGATAAATAGGTTTCTTTGCAATAAAACATAAAATAATGATATAGCAAATCTGCAAACAACAAATACTAGGACAGTAATTGCATGATTTATCTCAAAGATTGGGAATTGCTATTGTGATAGGATATTTAATGAAAACGAACTCATACATAAATAGGACATTGATAAAAGTAGAAAATAGAATTAGAGCTATATAGGCATATTATGTATATAAACCTGATGCTTAACAATTTTCTGGTACAACAGCAATTTAATATAAACTAGGAATTAGAACAAAAAAATATAAATCTTATACTTAACAGCTGTGACATATGAGGCTATAGTTTAATATTCAAATGTTTAGTTACATTATTACTATTTTTTCTGAATATGTAACATTTTAAAGGTTTTTTTTAAAATCTAACTTTTTTATATTAGGATCTATCTATAACCTGGTGAGCTCAGTTTTCAGTATTTCTCTGCTGCCATCTAGGGCTCATCCGGATTTTTGCAAACTGCAGTTGGTAGCTCTACTTAAATAAACATTTGCTTTGTTAATAACTTTGGAATTTACAACAGTACAAACCTAAGAAACTTGTCTTATATTTATGTAGTGTGAAACAAACTGCTTTGGTCCTTAAATACTTTTCTCCCTATGAAGGTTTGATTAAGTAAAGTGTCTGTAGGCACCTGGAGAGTGGCGGTGCAAGTAATAACATCATGCATCATTAGGCAACTGATGTAAATTGAATAGTTTGCACAATGGAATACTAATGTACATGTTTACATGACTTTGGTATCATTGCAATTTCTACAGACACTCATGAAATTGTCTTGAAAATCTTGGTCCCAAAGTAAGGAGGTTTCCAATGAACTTCATGAGTTTGGTACTAATTTCACTTTACAAAATGGTAGTCAATCTCTTTGATGATTAGAAGCATCAATGGGAGATGTTCTTTACTGTTTCAATATTTCTAGCAGTAACTGTGACAGGGATCTTGGGAGTTTTAGTGGATAACCAGTTAAATATGAGCCAGCAGTGTGCGGTGGCAGCCAAAAAAGCCAATGCAATCCTAAATTTCATTAACAGAGGGATACAATCAAGATCAAGTGAGGTACTAATTCCACTCTATAAAGCCCTACTAAGACCAAACCTATTGTACTGCATCCAGTTTTGGTCACCACACTACAAACAAGATGTTGAGACTCTAGAAAAAGTGCAGAGATGAGCAACCAAGATGATTAGGGGACTGGAGACTAAAACATATGAAGAACGGTTACAGGAACTGGGCATGGCTAGTCTAGTGAAGAGAAGGACCGGGGAGACATGATAGCAATGTTCCAGTATTTGAGGGGCTTCCACAGAGAGGAAAGGGTCAAGCTATTTTCCAAAGCACCCGAAAACCAGACAAGGAATAATGGATGGAAACTGATCAAGGAGAGATTCAACTTAAAAATAAGGAGAAATTTTCTGACAGTGAGAACAATCAACCAATGGAACAGCTTGCCTTCAGAAGTTGTGGGAGCTTCATCATTGGAGGCTTTCAAGAAGAGACTGGACTGCCATCTGTCAGAAATGGTGTAGGGTCTCCTGCTTGGGTGGGGGGATTGGACTATATGACCTACAAGGTCCCTTCCAATTCTGTTAATCTATTAATATCTATTTTGCTGAAAGAGTTTGATGTTGGAGTACATCTCTGGGATCTGAGAAAGTGGAAAATCATCTCACAAGACCACATAACTCTCTTAAATACATAAATGCTAACTATTCCATCATCTCCAAAATAATTTGGAAGAGATGCCTCAGACTAATTGGAAGCATGAGCACATCTCTCTTCCATGGAAGCCTGAAAAAAAAGCATGTTGCTGTTTCAGGAGTCACGTCAAAGTTACAATGGTTAATTATAGGATTCCTCAGCTGCGCTCGAGTTTCTTTTTTCAGAATTGCTCAAGATGTCTGAAAACAACAGCTTCAGCGAGGCCCACAGCGTTTTTTAAAAATCACTTTTGAAAGGTGCATCCCTTCCATTTCCATGCTTATTTAAATAGAAATAGTCTTCCCTGGGACTGAAGTTCAAGGCATATGCACTAAAGCAAGGGTCTCCAACCTTGGCAATTTTAAGACTTGTGGACTTCAACTGCCAGAGTTCCAAAGCTGGCTAAGGAACTCTGGCAGTTGAAGTCCACAAGTCTTAAAGTTGCCAAGGTTGGAGACCCCTGCACTAAAGGGAAAGCCTAGAATATTGTCTGCAAAAGATACAAAAGATTTGGAATGCTTTAGCATGTAAATGATAGGCAGTTCAGCCATGGAGTAAACTTCTATGCTTTGCTATGTGGTGAAAGCCTGACTAGATGATCCTTTATTTCTATTGTTTACAGGTTGGTTATTATTATTTTTTTGCAAACACCAAATAGCTATTAATTCCATGATGTATGGTTTATTAATTCCATAATGCATGGTAATCAGAAATGTTCAAAGAAGTCAATATCTATTTCTCCCCAGCTGGGACCGCTTGGCGTCTCCCCGGCCAGAGTTGGGGGGAGATAAGCTTGCAGGTGACATAAGTGCTTTATTTACATGTGAAGCTCCCTCAATCCATCAGCTGCAGGCAAACAAGGCTGTCAGCACAAAGATGATCTCATCCTTCCTGCAGTTCTGCTCCACTTGGATTGCAGAGGTAGGGCTCCCTCCCCCACCATCTGATCCCATCCAACAAGCAGCAGCAACAGCCGGGAGCACATGTGAAAACAAGAACCGAGTCAGTCTTTCTTTAACTTTGGAATGTGGAGACAGCAACCGAGGAATGAACTGGCAAGAAGAATCTTCTCCGGCTGGAGAAAATACAAACGGTATCAAACCAATCATCCCATAGGATGGGAAGCACTCATCTATATCTTATAAGGCTCAATCCCGGAGAAACACATAAGGGCTTTCAGAATGATTCTTGGCCAAGATTCCAAGGTCAGTTTGGGCAACGCTTTCCATGGGGCTGATGAGATAACACGGTTAGTCATGCCTGCAGAGAATTTTTTTTTTAAAAAATCTTGTCTTCGTTATTAAAACCAACACAGAATGACATGGCCTCAACTTATCCCATTGGAACATGTTTCATAATTTCACAGAACTGACATCACATGCTATCACATAGCTGGCCTCAATATTTTTTTTTCTCCACGTATACTTACAGTTCATTTAGGAAAGTGGCTACAAATCAACTGAAGTGTTAAATCAATGTGATCCGAGACATCTTTCTGACAAGAGGTTTTGTCGAACTGCACACCTTTTCTGAGATTAACAAATGTCTCTCTCATAACCCTTTCTCTGAATAAAAATCAACACGATCTTGTAAAATACAATCTTGTAGAAACATAAAAGGCAACTCTAGCATGGACCTGTTTATATTCAAATCCTAGTACCATTACAACACACAGGTTATTTTCTAAGCCTTTCCTGGCATTACTTGGCAGGATGCTTTCTTATAATACATATCCAGAAATGATATAACCTTGTGTTTTAAAAAATGCTGGAAGATGGAAATTTAAATGCTTACTACTTGAATGAGTAACCTTTCATAGACTTGTTCCAGTATGTTCAGAGGTAATATAGTCTCATTACACCATCCACAGATTATCTCCACAACAAAACAAAACAGAAACAAAAAGAGAATAAGCCAACCCATGAGATAAGAAATGGAATAAATAAATGGAACTAGAAAAAAAAATAATATGGAACCAGAAATTTCAAGGTCCTACTACTAGTTTTGAGAGGAGTTCTATGGAAAGATAATTAGGTAAAAGTGGGATACCATGTCTAGCTCAGAGTGATGCTCACTATGCAGTTGCTTGCAGATAAATGCTATGAGAGGCAAAGTACTTTAAATAATAGTGACTAGAAGTCACGTAGAATTTAAGCAGCACATATCTCTCACCCCTGTAGGAAAAAGCATTATTCTTTGTTCATGTTTGATTATGGGCTTCAGACAGTGAGAAGAAATAAACTGTACCCCCATGTGATCCTGTTCTCCAGAAAATTCTCTCCTCTCCCCCCCCCCAACACTGGGGGAATCCTGAATTTCAGATCTCCATCACCTTTAATCCAGCTACTTGGGATTCCTTTTCACACAATGGCTTGCCCAAAGATCCTAAAACCAGGTGTAATCCAGCACTGTAGAGAGGTGTGAAGTGCAGAGCGGAGAGCATAGCAAAAAATAAGAGGAGAGAAACGAACGGCTTACCTTGAATTGTGCTTTTCCTGCTTTGCAGTTGTTGTTGTTATAATTTTTCTCCGCACTGTTGTGGGAAGGGCCTCTGTATAGCCCTTCTTCCCCTAAACCACCTTTTCCATGCCAGTTGGACAAAGTAATCTTCTTAATGGAACGGGACAGCGAATTGCTATTGATGCAGTCATCATTGGTGACCACTTCTTCAATAGGACTAGCCCTTTTAAATCTTTCTCCAGCAGGCTCCAGAGACGTCTGAGCCAGATACAGAGAAACACACTCATTGAGGTTTTGGTGCAAGTCATGGTTATTCAGAGCCTCGAGAGGAATGTCAGTACAGCTGTCTCTTGGAAATTCCAGGGAACACTTGGGTAGAGATAATTTGGTGCTAATGGTGAACGGTTGGACCTTCCTTGCTGTGCTACCGGACATCGTCTCCCTTAGCACAAGCCTTACAGGGGCCCTAGAAAAATGCTAGGACACAAGTCTTGATAAACTCCCACTGCTTTTGGGAGGAAAGAAAAGGACCTCTTGTCGGAGGGCATAGAAAGAAAGGCAAAATCAGAAGTGACAAGATTTGCCTTGGCTTCTTCCATCCCATGCAAGAAAACTCAGAGGTGGAGACTGCGTCCCATTGGATCCGCTCTTTTTTCCCCCCTCAGGCGTCCAGGTCTGTGAATTCTCTCTCACCAGCGAAGCTTCTCCTTAAAACGTTCCAAGAGGACTTCCAAACCTCCTTTGGTTTTCTAGCAGAAGTTACACAGCTGCCACCAAGCCCAGGTCTCTGGGCAGTGGTAGTTTAGCTCTGTGTGAGGAAGTCCCTCACTCATGGATCAGTTTTGCCGGAAAACAAAGGCGGAGAAGCGAGCAGAATCGAGGGAGGGAACTTGGTCTTGGCTTACTGAGCAAAGAGGAGAAAAAATTATTCAGAGTGCCTGGAAGTTGGGAGGAATGGGTTTGGTGGGGGAGGCGGGTGGGGCGGATCTTAAGAAATGAGATCAAAAAAAAAATGTAATCTTCCCCTTGAGAGGAGTGCAGTTGGTAAATACTTCTTGAGCTCGCCTTCTCTCTTGGCTGGAAGAGCGCCCCCTTTCCCACGAGAAGCCAAACGTCGCTTCTGAGGGGGGGGAAAAACGGGTGCAGGGATGAGATACGACTCGCCTCCCTCCGAACGAGGCTCCGCTCCGGGGCTGTGACAGGTGGGTGCCGGGATTACCACTTCCGAGCCCCGAAAATTTGGGGGAAGAGGGTCGTGGCCCGCTCCCTCCTTCCCTCCCTCCCTCCCTGAATCCTTTTCAGTTGCCGTCCACCTTCTTGCGCAGGTTGAGGAGGCAGAGCAGGCAGGTGAGGATGGCCTCGCGGGACTGCTGAGAAGTCAGGCGGGCCCTCAGGCGCCGGAGCAGCGGCAGGAGGCGCTTGCGAGCCAGCAGCAACAGGCGAGTCAGAAGGGTGCGCAGAAGCAGGAGGGCGAGCAGCGGGGCGGGCATGCTGCGCTCAGGGCGCGGGCCTGGGATCTGTGTGGGGGGGCGGGGGGAGGAGGGAGTGGGAGAGAGGCACAGATAGATGCACCGAGGTCAAAAAGGAGCGGAGGGAAAGGGGGCGCATCCGAAACCGCCCCGGGGGGGGGGGGGGGGGGGGGGGGGGGCGGAAGGAGAGGAGGAACCCTCCCCCCCCCCGGGTGAAAAGCCCTCCCTTCCCTCCTTGCCCAAGTCTTCACTCTCTCTTCCACTCACTATATTTAGCCCGGCTCTTCAGACAGGGAGTTCTTTAGCATGAGGTAATGTGGCTTGGACTCAGGGGAGTAGACGGCTTCCAAAAAACCTACGGGCTACTTCCACCATCTCCCGGGAAGATGGGGAAATTGGCTGGTCCGCTCGCTCGGGGACTTAGGCTACCACCTACTGGAGTTCGGAGTTGTTGGAAGAGGAAAAAACGGGGCAGAGGCAGGCGACACTGGAAGATTTTAAAAAGAGAGCGGACAAGCGTTATTTGTCTGCAACGGTCTAGGCCAGGTTTCCTGCCTTCTGAGCAGGGGGTTGGACTAGAAGACCTCTAAGGCCCCTTCCGACTCTTAATTCTGAAATAGAGCCAAAAGGGGTGACCAAAGGCATTTGACACCGCGGGCGAAGGAATCGGCCCTCGCCGCGGCAGCCGCAGCTGGTATTAACAGCTGCGCGGAATTCAACAGGTGAAGCGCTTCTCCACATTTGTCCCTTGCCGAAAAGCGCTTCCCTTGCAAGCATTCTCAGCTGTCCGAGGGAAACCGGGAGCCAAAACGCCGGAGGCCCCGTGGCGGGCGCAGCTTTGCATTCCAGGCGAGGGTTTCATAAAAAAAAAAGTGCCAGAGTGAGGCACCTGCAGCCCCAGGCGAGGAAAAGCGAGGCAGCAAACTTCTGCCACTCGCGAGTTGCAAAATCTTGCAAGGTGAGGCGTTTCCCCCCCCTCCAAAACGGGGGCAAGACAGGCGGGAATTAAGGCTGCACCGGTACCCTCGCTGCAGCTCGTTGCCGGAGGACCCAAGGCCGAGAGCAAGGCTGCATTCAGGGCTTTTTTGAGCGGAGCGGAGGCGGTTTCGCTTACAAGCTCGCTCCTGCTGCTAAGCGCGCGGGCCGTTTTATTTCTGGGAAGGGAAATTGCGGGTGGGAGTAAGGCAGGGTGGAACCTTCTGCTTAGTGCCCGGAGTAGTCATAGCAACAGAGCGCGTCGGAGGCGATGATGCAATTGAATTCCACAAGGATAGGCTCAAAGCGCGGGGACTTGGAGAGGAAAGTTCTCTGGGCGCTATGGCAACGGACAAGACTGACTTTTCATCTCTGGAAGGCACGGGAGAAACCCCAGCGCTGCACGGCCAAAGGGTGGCAAATCCGAATTGAGCCTCTATACTATATATAAACCCTCGTGATTCAAAAAATGCATCCCCCTGATTTCCGTTTTCTCCCTCTGTGGGCCCTGTTGCGCTATGGAGCTCCAGAAGTCGCAGTTCTCCACTCCCCGGAGGGCTGCACGATTAATTTAATTTAATTAATCATATTTCTATGCCGCCCAACTCCCAAGGGATTAGAAAATACGGTACTTATGGCCGAGTCTCTCAACCGGAAACTCTTAGAGGGACTCCGCACGTTTGAAACGCTTGAAGGAACACGTAGGATGCCTTGGAGAGGGAACGTGCTCCCGGGAGATGCGCACTTGCGCTCTTCTACCATGCTCTGCCCTTAACGTTAAATTGCACGTTTGATTGCCCGTAAGGGTTAAAAAAACATGTATGCCCACTGGCTTCCTAACATTAAGCCAATGAGGGAGAGAATCAGAATAGGGACCTTGGAGGTCTTCTAGTCCAGCCTCCTGCTCAAGCAGGAGATCCTATAGTATTTCAGATAAGTGACTGTCCAGTCTCTTCTTAAAAAACCTCCAGACATGTAGATCGCTTTAATTCCTTGGATAAAATTAACAGAACACAGAATCGGAGACGAACAAGATCCAACTTCCTCCGTACTTCTCTATGCACATTCCCCAAATTGACAGTGTAATGAAAGGGGCAAGTGGTAGCAATTACATACCTGTGCAGTAAACAGCATTTGGCTGCAACATAGGTGTACTCCTAGCAAAACAAAAAACAAAAAATACCTGTGGCTTATTTTATTCACATCACCATAAATTCATTCAGGCATGGGGGGGGGATCTGCATTTTGTATCTGCCATCCTGTTTTGTCGCAGAATACACTGCAGTACGCATGTATAAAAAACAAACTTTTAGACTGTGTGGTAGCGGTGAGAATTATTGAAACATTCCCAGATACAAACTCTTATGTCAAACTCAAGGCTGTTTCCCACATTATGGCCAATGAGCTTGATATACAGAAGAAGAGCCATTTGATAACATTCCTGCTTCCCCTTGCATATTCCATGCAATATATGATGTCATCTGTAGGCAAGCTGCCTGCCCACACCAATGCTTAAGTTGCCTGCAGATAGGAAGATGCTGCTGCATTAACAACACAGAAAAATAAAAGAAACCAGTATTATTTTTTGCTAAGGGTGGGTTTGATTGCAGCTGCCATTTGATCTGCAGAAATTTTACTCCAGTTGCCCATAGGAGACGAGATTAGATGGACATTAATTACTAGGTCCTTAACATGTGCTGTTCCATCATTTTTCACCCCCTTCTTTGAATAACAAAATTTGAATTTGGAACAGCCAGTTAAGAAGACAATGTTGAGAAGAAAATGAAGCATATAATGTATTTTTATTCACTATGCAGTATTAGAATGGATCTAGGCTTATATACATATTTTCTCATAGCATGCTTCTGTTCAGAGGCAACCATCAGGCATGCCCTTTGGCATCTAGATCATAGATGTAATTATGTTGAACAAAAGTGCTCTCTTTTGGGGTCAGGTTCTGCAATTTAGGTTCTGTATTTGTTTGCGTAGTGAGTGACCTCAAGGGACTTGCTCACATGAAACAATAAGCCTTTTGCTCTCTCTTACTTGGTTAATTAACTCTAATAATTGGGGGTGTGGGTGGGGGGGAAATCTGTGGGACAGGATATCACATGCAGTCTTGTTGCCAGCATAGCCACACTGTTTCACTTAGAGTGGAAGGGTTACCATTTTTATTTCATAAAAATGATATGATTTGAAATGATATGAAAATGATTTCTTAATCATAAGAAATCTAGAATACAAGATGAACGTTTTCATAAACACATCTGCCAGTACAGATGATAAAGAATGAACTGTCCAGTTTTAGTGATGCTAAAGACTGTTTTATTATTATTAATGGAATTCATTATAATTGGTGAGGTCTTTGATGCTTCCTGGGCTTGGATATTTGTTTGTAGACATTTAATTACTTGTCTAGTGCACCAACTGGATGCACTGATATTACCTAGTTGGGTAATGAAATGTCCACAAGCAATACCTAAGCTCAGATAGCACCCAGGATTTCACAATTCAACTTTAATAAGCTACATATATTCTCTATCACTGGAATTATAATTTACTGTGCTTGAGAGAGAGTGTATGTACATGTGCATTTGTGCACACACATATGCACACACACACACAACATTTCTGCTAATTTGTTGGGATTATTCATTGCCAGCAGAGGCAAAAGTTTCACAAGCTTTTTCATCCGTCACCAATCCAAAAACAAAGGTTTAAATGTCATATCTAATGATAAACTTTAAAAACTACAACAATCTCTTCAGTTATCTCCATGTACATATTTTGTGAACATTTTTAATGATGGTTTGCTTTGAAGGAATAACTTTTTAATATAGACACTCTGGAATTAGAAGTTGTTTTTCATTATTTTAGAGTCAATAATTTAGACATCCGCATCAATTATCTTTTTTATAAAGCACATTTTGAAATTAAATATGATTAACTCTACCTTTGTAATCTATAAGTGCAGTTTAAGAAGTGACCAATCAATATACTGCTTATTTTATTAACCCTTTAAACTCTGCAATTTGTATACAACAATATTTCTTTAAACTAATTTATATTAGTTGCCATCTTAAGTATTTTTTTCATTATTTCCTTTATTCTATATCAAAAATACCCTTTAACACATCAGAAACAATTTTAGATGCATATTACATTAGAAATATAAAGTTAAGAGAAGGGAAATAAATGATATATCTTCACTTACCCTTCACTCAAAATCTTTTTCCCCAAGGACCCGCATATTCATATTATTTTTATCATAGATGTATGTCTGGAATCATATATAGCTTAAAATTCTGTTTAAAAATTAATTGTCACAATTGGTCACAATTCTTTCTTCGTGTATGATGACCTAACTCTGTCTCATGACATCTCAGTACAAAAACCAGACACTTAAAAAGGTCCACTGCAACCAATAGGAAGTTAGTTCTAAGCAAGTTAAATCCCATTGAGTTGCATGGTTTACCCCAAATTTACCCTTCACTTAACCCTTTATATACAAGCTGATCTTAGAAACCATAGTAAAAAAGCCACTTCAGTTTTCAACTGGAGCAGCCAATAAATACCGCAGTGGCATATGATTAATCTCCCCCC